TGGAACCAGACTATTGGCAGGTTTTTCAGGTGTGAGTTCCGGCCTGATTGAGAAGAGCTACCATCTTGGCAGTTTTTTGTCAGCTGCTGGTGGCCTGCAGACCCCCCACTCCTATAGTTTTGAGTGACTGGGGGCCTCATAAATTTATAAACATGCAGACTGCGGCTGCCAGCAACCAACACTCGTTTGGCTTTCTGTTTGAAACATTTCAATTCGCCTGCGGCCCGGAGTCGTAGGCCATGTGCCCCACTTGTGGGGGGACGGGGGGTGGTGGCTGCGGCATAGTAGCTGATTGGGGGGAAACCCTTTCTGGCAGCAACTTGGCCAAAGGTTAAAAGTAAGCACCAACAGGTTATGGCAAAGTTGGGATAACTGAAACCGTAAAGTAACTGCCTAATTGAATGGAGTCTTAGATGGAGTCTTGGATGGAGTCTTCCAAACGAAGTTCCACAGTATTCCAGTCGGTTTGAAAATTATGTTTGTGCCTCCAGATAAGTTAACAAAATTGAAGTGGGAATTGGCCAACAAGGTATTCAAATTTCAGGCAAGAAGCACTTCTCTCCAAGGAGTTGGTTCAGCATAGTCCTTGGATCGATATTATTTGGGGAACTTGAAAGTTATGAGGAAACAATGGAAAACATAATCCCACTACTTGTGTTTCTCTTTCATTGACACATTTTCCAATAACAACAGCAACAACAACAAGAACAACCGCGGAAAACCTTAACCTGAAGAAGCCCCGCCCGCCGCCGCGACTAATCGAATTAGGGCTGCCCTAAGCGGATAAATCGGGGAAGCCCGGACCCGGGGAGTACTCACTAATCCAGCATTTCGATGTCCTCGTCGCTGTCCTCCTCGTCCTCGTCGCCCTCCCCCTCGCCGTCGTCGTAGAAGCGAGCCTCGTCGGCGGCGTTCGAGCCCCCGAACCGTTCCCGGCTCCGCTCCCGGCTCCGTTCCCGGCCAGGCATACCGTTGCTGGCGGTGCTGGGGCGCTGCTGGCGACCCCGGGACACCGTCGGGGAGTCGGAGGAGCCGCGGTTCCTGCGATTCCGGGCCGACTGAACCGGCAGGCCCACGCCCTGCTCCAGCTCCTCCTCCTCCTCGTCGCTCTCGATCTCGATCTCGTCGAGATCCCGCTGGCTGATGCTCCGCTCGGGCATTATATCGCACTTGCCACTCTTTCAAAGTCAATCAAAACTCCCTAACTCCACTGGAGAGCACTCTAAAAAAATGTGTCCGAAGTAATCCAGTAAATCTTGGCCGCAAACACTGCCACACTCGTGCCACTGAGACTTGCACCGAACGCACTCGAAACTGCAATTGGCGATGAAAGCAGTCCGGCAGCTGGAAATCGGCGGGACTTTCTGGGGCTTCACATCGCGAGACCTTAGTCGGAGGTGCACCACACGGCTAATTCAATTAGCGCCCGGCCAAGGAAAGTGGCCGACTGGATGGAGGCGTACTCTCGACCAGAAAGCGCCCTGCCCCCGAGTCCGAGTGCCCGGAATACGATTAGCCCCACATGCCCCGTCCGAACGATGGGTAGCGCCCAGGGCAGCCACAGGAACGAACTGGTCAGCCCAAGAACATGTCGCTGTGTCCACTTGGCGTGTCTGAGAAATCCAAGAAGGCACACAACAGTCGCAGTAGATAAAGCAAATAATGCCGAAATGGGTCAGCGATTTTCGGGGGCGACATTGTGACGATAGGAAGGAAGCCCTTTGCACGTGCTGCTCACCTGCGGTGGGGGGGGGGAAAGGTGGGGCAGATTCGACACGTCCCCGGGAAATTTTTTGGCCAATTGATGTAATCAAGTGCTCGCATTACCTAAATTGTGATTAGGATTGGGCCCGAGATAGATTGGCAATTTGAGGCTGCAAGGCCTGGAAGGTGGGAGGCTCAGGAGATACCCTCTGGTGGGGTATGACGGGCACAGGGGGAAATTATAACCAATTATCGACTTGGCTGCCTAGTCGGCTCTTCCGGAGAAACAAAACCATAAAAATTAAACGAGCTAAGCCCAAACAAGCCCGGGTTTAATGAGCCATTTCAATGCCGCGAAGGCACGGGTCTGGCTCTGTGCAGGGAATATCAACGTTTATATGCATTTTCGAAATGAATTTGTTTTAATAATACTATAAAATGGAGGGAAAGGAAGCGAGTCGCGGAGAAAGGAGGTACCAGGAGGTACCCTTTAGAAATGACTGTCAGATCTGTCCGATTCCAAGCAAAGCTAATTATTTCGTGTCTATAGTATATCGTTTTATAAACTCGACTACAGATCCCAAGCAAAAAATCACATATTTCACATCTGCCATAAATCTGTCGGCCGGACAGCAACAACACCCCTCTCGGATTACCTCGGATTCGTCCCTAAACCCCCTAATCCCCTCTGGACCGCCTAAAAACTGCTCTCCCATAGGCCCAAGTGCTGGTCCAGGGCCTTCAATGCACTCGAATCAAAGTCGTTGCACTAACGACGACTAGTCTGTGCGACTTGTGCGGCAGAGCAACACCACCTGCGACGGTCAATGCCAAGGGCGCGAAACTTATGCCGGCAACTGTGACGAAACAGCGGCTGCGACTGCGGTCGGCGAAGCAATAAAAAAAAAAAAACACAAAAAGATACACTGCCACGAGCAAGACAGCAAAAATAAACAACTCCAAAGGTGTCAACTGAGACAACCTTCCACGGAAGACAATAAAAATAGCCGAGACTCGCACTGAAGAATTTGCGGAAGAAATAGAAAACAGAAGAGCTTCCTGAAGAGTGGAGGCTGGTCAGATGTTGGGTTGTTGGGAGAAAATTGGCAGACCGTCCAAGATCATGCCGGAATGCAATTAAAAAACATTTATTCCACCCGAAGACCATTCAGTAAGTAGTTATAATCGGTTGAACGACCGCAGGCCCCCGCCCCGCCGAGTCGGAAGATAGCGAATCTCAGCCAAAACAGCGTTTGGGCCAAATCGACCAGGCCCAAATACAGAACAGAGAAGATATAAATCCAAAAGCGGCTGCCCAGCCAGGCCATAACAATGGCAATAATCGTAGCTAAGGCAGTCGTGTGTTAAGCCTCAATAGAAATGCCAAACAATTAGCCAAAATGAAGTCTCGAAGCCAAAAACAAGACGAAAACAAACAGAATAAGCCACAAAATAAGAGTAAAGCACGCATTATGATTTTAATTGGATGGGGGGAGGTGGTAGGGCAGGCCAGGACTACATGCTCCTTAGAAAAGTCAGGTTATGAAGAAAATATCAACCATTCGCAGTGTAGGACAACCCTACATTTAAGCATATCGAAAAAGGTAGATAAAAGGTAGATCTTTTGGCCACTTCCAGCTGTGATAACGATGATGATTCCGCTGGTGAGGCGCCTACCCGCTTATCAAACGGGAGCACTCTTCCCTTATCGGAGCCCCAAGAGGCAAACACGTTGGGAAACGAGCGTTAAACAAGACAAATTATTGAAGGTCGCAAACTGATAAAACACCATGGCGTGTAACTATTTCTACAGAGTATCCCCACCACTAAAATATCAATTTTAAGGCCATTTACAAGCGTTGAGTGCGAGAATTAATTTAAATATATTTAACCTGATTCCAATGGGGTCACACTTATTGAAGCGGAATCAGAGTCCCCCTCCTCTCTCTCTCTCTCTCGCTAAGAGAGATCCAAAGAGAGGGCTCCAATGTAAACAGATTGGAAACAAGTTCAAGGCCACGATCGCTCTCTTTCGACTCACCTGCTGGATGAACAGAAGTTGCTGCTCAGCTGCTGCTCCTCCTGATCCCCTCCTGACTGGCCGGGGGTGTAGGCGGGGATGACGGCCACCTCTGACGTCACGGGCCGGTAAATCAGCGGCTTTACATTGCGCTCGAAGTCGTCCAGGAAAACGACGTCATGGACGGGAATCAGTCGGTGGTCGCCCACATTGAAGGGCAGGTCCCTGAAGGGGCCGTTAAAGAGGCAGCGGAGGGGAGATGTTACCAGGACGGCGTCCTCGGAGGGCAACTATAAGAGGACAATGATTTAGTTTAACTATCATTTATAATTAATGACCACTACACAACAATTTCTTAAAATAAAAAAATTTTAATTCATATTGGAATGTTTTTTATTCATAATAATTTTAATACATTTTTAAAAATATAAATTTTTGCATATTTCAGCCATTTTTGACTTGTTTCTAATTGGACTGTACTTTCCAACCTTTATCTTCCCATTGGCCGCTGAGAACATTGGAAACTTCCTAACGGTACTTTTCAATGAGAAGCAACATGATGGAGAGCCAACATGTCTAGTGTTAGGAAGTCGTAATTGGAATCATTCCAGACGCCTGCGTCGCGTTGGTAGTTTTTTGTTTTTATTGATTGTTTCCACTGTCTGCTGGATATTACTTCAGATTTTTATTTTCAAACCAATTGAGTTGACAAATATGGGGGCAACAACAAAAAAAAACACACACACACTCGCGAGAGAACTTGCACAATTGACCGAAACAAAACAATGGAACCTGAAGCAGTGGCTGCATCGGCTGCGTCTGCGCCTTTTGCCTTCCAATAACTAAAACAAGAATCACACCGAAAACACCGCGATTTAAAATATAACGAACACTTGCGACGATTTAAAATTATCTGATCGGATGCCGATCAAAAGCGTCTCCGCTTGGACTCCCGCTTCGGCGACGCTATCTTCCAATTGGTCCAATCGGATCAGCAGCAAGAGATGTCCACTTGGCGTCCGCTGAGGTGCAATATCACCGCCATAGAGATGGGAAACTTATCGATCTTTAGCGCCTATCGATTAAAAACACATTCTGCTGTTGCTTTAACCTGCGGCTTATTATTTGTAAATTGTTTTTTAAAGTGTGTATTTGCTTTGATATTATAACAAATTTGAATAAGAATGGCACTTTTCTTGATATTTGTTTCTATCATCAACCAGGTTGTCATCCCCATCTACCATCAGCCGGCTTACAACACTGAATTTTAGTGTTGTCCATCACTAGCCGAACAGAAGCAAGCAAAAAAAAAAAATCTAAACGCAAGCAAGCGCAATTTTGCCGACTTCTCCTGTCTCGAATCGAGAAAATACAATTTTAAGCAGTCTACGAGCATATCAGGTAAGTGGAGCATACAACAGAGCACGAATATTTAAATAAAAAATAGTAAACTCTAATACAAAACAATTGTTAGTGGCCACACGCCTGTATTTGCCCGTGTTCTTGTGTATGTGTGCATGTGTTTGGTTGTGTTAATAAAGCGGCAAAAACACAACATGGAAAACGTTATAAACCCTTTTCCTGGCTTATAGCTGGATAGCTTCCGAGAAGTAATTCGTTTTAGTCCGTGGAAAACCATTTAAGGCCCGCAAGATTAAAAAATAATCTGCGGGTGTATCGCTGGTATCGATACGCAAGTGCAAGGGAGACGGAGCGATGGGATGCCCAAAACTTTTTTTTTTTCGTCAATTGATGATTTGTTGTTTTTGCAGAATCCTCGAGAACTTTAAAAAGCGACTGCGAACTAAAAAGAAGACAAAAAGTCTCGGAATCTACTCTACGTTTAGGCGAACCGAAAAAGGTGAGCCTGAGAGCCAGAATATCTGGCGGGAGAAATGGTTCCTCCCGAACTGCAGGCCCAGAAACTGCATTTCTAACTATTTTGTGTCCCCCAACAGAGCACGAAGATGTCGCACACAATCCTGTTGGTCCAGCCAGGAAATCGGCCGGAGACGCGAACCTACTGCGACTACGAGAGCGTCAACGAGTGCATGGAGGGCGTGTGCAAGATCTATGAGGAGCATCTGAAGCGCCGTAACCCCAACACCCCGACCATCACCTACGACATCAGCCAGCTGTTCGACTTCATTGACACTCTGATGGACATCAGCTGCATGGTCTACCAGAAGAGCACCAACACCTACGCCCCCTACAACAAGGACTGGATCAAGGAGAAGATCTACGTGCTCCTCCGCCAGGCAGCCTTTAGCCCCAACGCCTAAAAGCCAAATACAAAGTAACACTACAGCTAATATACACGCACTCCTCATTTGTATAAACGCAATCCAACTGACGACACCCAAGAGGAAACGCCGCCAAGAGATGAAGAACGGAAGGGACACTGCTTTTGACGTTTCCTACTCAAAGGAGTTGGTTATATATATAATTTTAAAAGAATTTTTAATGAATTGTCTGCTTCCCAGTTGGATTGGCCAAATGCATCTCGAAACGTACCAGAAATCGCTGGCGAGCAGACAATGCAAACAAAGAGAACGAGAAACTGTTTAAATTAGAAATGGAAAATTTTACTTTATATGTACCAATATAATGTATATACACTCAACCTAAGCCATGGATTGTTTTAAATAAGAGGAGATATCTTAATCTCGTCCAAGACCACCCGCTGTCAGTACAGACACGCCTCCTAGAGTGGCTAGAAAGCGACTAGTTTGGGACTAATAGCCCATAATCAGTAATTTATTAGTGCCTGCAGTCTCCACCCTTTGAGCTGCCGATAAGTGGGAGCCCATTTAGCAACCAAATAACTAGACAGTACTTGAGTGCTACGAAAAGTGGCACTCTATCGGAAGGTTCCGAACGGGAACTGAGAAGAGGCCTGGCCAGATCTCGCCCTGGGTAATAAACCCAAGCCCCCGGCTGGCGATAAACCCAAATAGTCCACACAATTTTATGGGCCAAGCCGGATTTAGCCAAACAGAACCTTTGCCCGCAGATGCCAGATGCTAGGTGACCTTGGGGAGGTGCCATATCCAATCCCATACGATCCGATCTACCGGCGGTGGGTTGGGTTTTCAGCATCGCTTGGCTGCGCTGCATTGAACTTGGCATGCGATATTTAATTAGCTCCGCGACAGCATTTCGTTTAATATATAGTAACACCAGGCTTATAGTTGAGTATAAACGTGGTTCATACCCCGCACTTCCTCATGATGGGAGGTGCCTCCTGACCCTGTGATTCTAAAGCACTTTGTGAAGCGCATTCAAGGTTTGTTTATGTTTCTTATTTACTTTATGACTCGAAAGGTCGAAAGGTACTTCGTGGGAAGCTACCCCACGACTCCGCCGACTTACAGGGTATGCAAAAAAGTGCAGCTCTGGCAAATATTATAGTTTTTAGAATATTAATCAAACTGGTTTTTTGTTGCATTGCCGGGCTATGGTTAGCCCCCACGGCCGCCTTCGCCCTCGTTGCACGCACTTTCAATGTCAGCTTCCACGTTTTTGGCCAGAACAGAGACACACATATGTTGCCCTCTCTTTCGTTTTGGCAGCACAAGAGTACTAAGATTTTGGTAATTTGGATTTCAGTTTCAGTTTGTGGTAAAATCTATTCTTAACCGGCATTAAACATTTAATTGGCTAAACAGTAAGCGTTAAGGCTAAAAGGGGGAGGAGTGCTTTTTGGACCTGGCTAATGGCGCATCTGCCTCTGTGCCGCAGCCTCATTCTCCACCTCATACTCGTACTCCAGCTCCACTTTCGGTTTCGCGCGACTGCGACGACTTGTTCCGGCGCCCGGTTTCTTGTCCTTCTTGGATTTACTGTCGGCGGATTTCTTGGCGGGCACTTTCAGATCCTGTTGCGATTAACAATGTTAGTCATTTGTATATCTTTTACGATTCTCGGTTGGCAATTTGCTGGAGCTAGTCGGCTAGTGAGCTACTGAGTAGAACTCTGCGCGGTGCACTGAATGAAAACGACAACTGAATGAAAAGCGGCGATTGCTCGAAAGCTCTCACACGGCTCGAGATCGGATCGCTTTGCGATCGCGGATAGAACCCGTTTAGCCATTACTAATTATGGTAATTCCCGGGGGTCTGTTCGGGTCAGAATGTTCGTAGAAGGCTTGTAGAAGCCTGAAGAGAAATGCATTCAGGACACATTTCCACAAGGGATCTATCCAACAAATTGCCAACTGAAAACCTGGTAACATTTTCGGAAAACCCACCTCAATATCATCGCCATCTTCATCCTCGTCCGACTCGCCGAAATCACTGTCCATCTCCACCTGCTCCCGCTGCCCGGAATCGCTTTCGTAGGCATCAGAGTCCGCATCGTCTTCATCTTCATCTTCGTCATCGGTATCTGCCTCCACGAACTCCTCGTCGAGTAGTGCCCTGTGAACATCGGCTGCCTCGCGCTCATCGCCATCGACGTCCATTTCGCGTTCCAACTCCTCCTCGTCCTCCTCCTCCTCTTCGTCTTCATCCTCCTCCACGCGCTCAGCTTCCAGGGCCTTGTTGAAGGCCGTCTGCGAGAAGTTGTATATGTCGCGGTAGGTTCCGTTCTTGAGACGATCCATCAGGGCCTTTTCAATGTGATTGTCGATCTTGGCGGCCACCAGAGCCTTCACCTCGCGCCTAGCCTCCCGCCGCTCGATCTTGGTGGAGAGTGGAACGATCAGTTTCTGGCGACGCAGCTTTAGCTTACGCATTCGCATCAAGTATTGGGTGATCTTTAGGAAACGCTGCTTATTCTTGGCGATCATATACTTGGGCCAGAAGACTAGGTTCTCGTTTATCTGCTCAATGGCCTTCTCGAAGTTCCTGGATAACTTGATCCTCTCCCACATCTTGCTGGGCATGTGTGCGCGCTCGGCGGTTTTGATGAATAGGTAGATGATGCCCTTCTCCTCGCGCACGGTGGCATACTGAGAGTTAGCCAGGGGGCATGTTCTCCGGGTGCACAATCCAGTCAAGTTGTACTCATGCCGGCAGAAGGTGCGGGTGTCGGTCCTGGTTGGAAAAAAGCCGCGGTTAATAACATTTACACTCATAATATCAGCGGATTCAAGAACTCACTTCACTTTATGCGAACAGAATGACTTGTTGATGATGCTCCAAACGACCTGCAAAAGAAGCAAATTGTTTTTAGTTTATTTTTTGGTTAGCATGCCACCAGCTTACATCGTCGTGCTGCATTTTGAAGCTGTCGATTTATCCTCTAAATTCCAAACACAATATGGAACACGTGCAACGAGCGGCACCTTCAAAAAAAGGAAAACACTAATAGCGATGACAGTACCAACAGTGGTGAGCAGCTAAGCTAATATCGATAACAAATATACCAGAATTAAAATACTATTGGCCGTAACGACTATCGTATTAGCGATGGTACATATTAATAGAAAGTACTTATCGCCACACTATCGTTTTCCAGCACTGGAATAAAAAATATATAGCCTATCGATAGTTTCATAGTGATGGGGTAAGAATGGCCATGCGGTAAGGAATTCAACCCGCGCAAAAATAGGATTCCGTCGCCGGCGTCGCTTGAAAATCTGGTTAATTTTGTGTAGAAACGCAGCGCTACAAGGAAGTAGTGCCTGAAAACGTTTGTTAGGACCAGGTCCTAAAGGATTACGCAAAAATGATCGCAGCGGTTATTAATCAAGCCGTCACTGGCTTGCCATTTGTGGCTATACTTTTTGTAACCGCCTTGGCAGTCTTCAAGGGCTACATGAATATTCGGTGAGTTTGTACAGTTTCATTTATTAAAGTAATTCAATTAATGAGTTTAATGCCTCCCTCGTATAGATCCCGCTACAACGCCCACGTGAACTGCTGGTTTTGCAACGGTAACACCCGTGTGCCCTACCCAGAGCGGAATAGCTGGAACTGTCCGCACTGCGACCAGTATAACGGCTTTACCAAGGATGGTGACTACAACCGGGACATGACCTCGCAGCGGGACTGCAGCCACAACTCCGACAAGAGCCACTCGCAGGGCAGCTCCAGCATATGCGCCAACTCCTACTACGCCGACGTCCTGGCCGCAAATCCTGCACCAGCCCAGACCAACGGCCTGTGCGACCTTTGCAACGAAGCACAGCGTCTCAAGGTGGAGAAGCTCTCCCAGTTCGAGCCCAAGAACGAGTCTCGATTCGAGCAAGAGCTCAAGGTGTACAGGTAAGAAATACTTTGGGGAATAAGCAGGAGAACCTGGAGACTTTGTGATCTATAAGGTATAACACGGATCCAATTTCACAGGGAGCAATTGGAGCAACAGTTCCGGCTCTGTAGCAGCTGCGAGCGGCACGTGAACAAGGTCCTGCACGAGAAGAAAAAGATGGTCCTAGGCTCCAAGTTCCTGAACTTTATCATCAAGGGAGCTGCGCTCCTGAAGCAACCCCACTTCAACCGGCTTGCAAGCGCCCAGCGGCAACGGAAACTGCACTTCTATCGCTTGGCGATGACACTGCTCACTATCGGCAACATAATATGCCTGCTCTGTCATCTGCCACAAGCCACGGGCGCCCAGTTCAAGTGGCTGCTGGGCGACTTCTTTGGAACGACTATGTTCAAGGCCTATTCTCATGGACTGGCACTCGTCCGAGTATTGATGGGAAGCGTGGGTAGACTCTTGGAGAAGGAGGAGACGTCTGCGAAGCTGCTGCTCTACGCCAGAACCTTTGGCAAACTATTGCTCTACTCCGTTGGCCTCAACCAGCAGCAAATCCAGCAAGCCACCTTCGCCTCATGTTACTACAACCTTTATCCGTACGTCATGCTCGCACTAAGCTTCCTGTACAAAATCAACGACGGCCTCAAGTTCACACGGTTCACGGTTGTCCTGCTCATGTGGAGTGCTAACGCGAAAATCCGCGATCTTGTGGTCATCGACGACGTGGTCTTTCTACTTTTGGGCAGTGTGCTCACCCTGGTCCTGCTATCCACCGGAAATTCCAGTCTGCTCAAACACCCATCGCCTGACGAGACCGCCGGAGAGAGCTTCCATCGCCTGTGCGCCGATGAGTGCATCAGCGACGAGGAGACCCTCAGCCTTCTCAGCCAGCAGCTAAGCGGATGCAGCAGCACTGTCGGAAACAACAACAACAGCGCCAGTAACATGTCCTTACCCTCGGCCTCCGTTTGCATGTCGCCAGCCCCGACCATTTCGCCTAGAAGCGTCCACATGCCGCCGGCTTCCGTGCTTTCACTGGGCGCACTTCGTCTGTCCAAACACCAGCAGCAGGAACAGCAACATCTGGGATGGCGCTCAAACTACGGAGGAAGTGGTGTTCCTTCAATGGGATTCCAGCAGCAACAAAGGGCATCTGCTGCAAGGCCGATGGAGTCGCCCTGGTACCGGCACTCGACCACCAATCTCAGCCAGGCCCAGCCATTCGCCAGGTCCACTCAGAATCTAATAAACCCTTCGCGGCTGCCGATGTCGAACCGGAATCTTGGTGGGGGCGATGTGAGTGCCTGGGTGGCGGCCACCCAATCTATCAACCAGGACCTGGGCACCGCCAGCCTGATGCGGCACTACGAAGAGAAGCAGCCGCAGCAGATCTCGCGAACTTCCTCCCAGTCCTCTGGCTTCGAGTCGCAGCCCGCGCGAATGGAACAGCAGTGGGGATCCGGTGCTCCGAGCGCTCCGCCCCTTAGCGACTACGGATGGCCCGAACTCCGGGAGAGCCAGCGGAACCTAGTCGTGCCGCCTCTCGCCTCGCCGGCACCAACCCTGACCTCTGAGTACCAGTCCATCGGAAGAAGTTCCCTGCAGCAGATGCCGATGCCGCAGCATGTGCCACCGCCTCAAACACAGCAAAAGCCCATGCAGCAGCAAACGATTCAGCCCGGCGATCTGCTCAGGAAGTGGATTGAGAGCAGTCGGAAGATGTGAGGCATCGTTACCTGGACGCAGATGAGGCTGCGGTGAAGACCCACTGAAGAAACTCGCGGTCAATGGTTGACTTTTGATATTTTGGCCGTCGAGAATTAATTTATTTCAATTAGTACTTTTAAGTTTTTATTGGCCCACAACAATTTTTTGGAGGCATAACGCTTGTGTTCAAGGAATGGTTATCACTGCCAGACTCAGGATTTGACTAGACACTTGAATTTCCACTGACTATTTTACTGTTTCAAGATTGCATTTGTGTCTTTGGCACTAAGATTTTAGTAATTTTGCGAAGCTGGTTGACAAGATGTTAAAGGTTAAGGTACTCCAAATCAAAGGAGAGGCTCTCGTGTTCATTTTTTTAATAGGAAAAAGACAAACCAACACTGCAACTGAACAAACGAACTCAATTTATACTATACATTTTTGGCTTGTGATTATTAACCCAATTTATTTATTGGTAATTTGAAGTTTATGAATTAAATAAATATTTAAATAAATATACTCTTGTTTATTATATAAATATTATATATATAATTTATTATATATATGAAATTAATCACATACCCCAACAGTCAAATTTCGATTTGAATGTTAAAAATTCCCCCTTTTATTGCTTTTCAAATTCAAAACTAGGCGCCAATCGATACATCGGCGAAACTATCTGGCAACTCTCTGCGCACCGGCAAATCAGCTGTCAGCGGTTCCGAAGGGCAGCGCAACAGAGACAGGAACAGAAACAGCCACAAAGTGCAACAAAATGACGAAATTAGCAACAAGCGGCCGAGGAATCTAAAAGTAAATAGCAAATATAAATAATTCGCACTGGCTGGCAGTGGGAGACGCCGAGGCGGAGACAGTAACGAGGCGGAACACCCAATCGGAATCAAGTCGAGTCGAGGAGAACAAGATGAGCAGTCGCCAGCGGACGGTGATTATTTTCAAATCCGGATCGGAAACGGACGATGTGTACGCGGAAACGCTGGAGAAGCATGACTTTCGGCCGGTCTTCGTGCCCACGCTCAGTTTCGGGTTCAAGAACCTGCCCGAGCTGCGACAAAAGCTCCAGACGCCTGACAAGTACGCCGGGATAATTTTCACATCGCCACGGTGTGTGGAGGCGGTGGCCGAGTCCCTGAATCTCGGCCAACTGCCAGGCGGGTGGAAGCTGTTGCATAACTACGCCGTGGGCGAGGTGACCCACAATCTTGCCCTCAGTACCCTGGACCAGCTATTCACCCACGGCAAGCAAACGGGCAACGCCCGGGCCCTGGGCGACTACATTGTGGAGACGTTTGACGGGTCCCGTGACCTGCCCCTGCTCATCCCTTGTGGCAACCTGGCCACCGACACGCTTCTCTCGAAGCTAGCTGAAAACGGCTTCGCTTTGGACGCCTGCGAAGTGTACAACACGCTCTGCCACCCGGAGTTGGCGGAGAATGTGGAGAGAGCGATAGCTACGTATGGGGACTCCATCGAGTTCCTGGCATTCTTCTCACCGTCCGGCGTCAACTGTGCCCAAGAGTACTTCCGTGCCCGGAACCTCTCGATGGACAAGTGGAAGCTGGTGGCGATCGGGCCAAGCACGCGTCGCGCCCTGGAGTCCCAGGGCCTGAAGGTCTACTGCACCGCCGAGCGGCCCACAGTGGAGCACCTAGTGAAGGTTCTGCTGAACCCTCAGGATAGCAGAGAGCGCCTGCTCAAGGAGCGGGAGAGATTGGCGATGGAGAATAATAACTAGGAACCATAATCTCTAAGAATTTGTGGAGTAGGATATTGTAAAGTCTGATTCTAATTCGCTCTCTTGTCGGTCATGTGGAAATATGTGGTATATAGATTCAATTTTTGAATAGCCTCCAGTCAAAATCAAATTATGCGGAATCTAAAGTCTAGACTAAATTTTAACTATACATTTGTGTATACTTTATGGGTCTAAATAGTATAATTAAAGAACGTATGTCAGCATTTTAAGACACCCTTGAGGAATGTAAAGATGTACTATTTACTATATATATCCCTCCAATCTGACGCTATATTTTATAAAAACTGACCAGTGTTTGAATCTAGATTTACAATGTCCACTCCAAACGCCGAAAAAAAGACTCAAACCCATTGTTTTTTCTCTATTGACCTCCGAACGAGTACAAAATTAGCGGGCATCAAATGCCGGGCAACGTTTTCGATCAAGCTAAATAAATTGTATCTAAATTTAGAGTTGGTGTACTTTGTGGGTCAAATGGGTGTAAAGAAAGACGAAGACTAAATGTTTTTAAGAATTTCTTTTTTCATTTATTCTTTTCATAAATAGGTATAATTTTCATAAAAGTTATATGGCTACTTAGAAGCTGATTATGAAATGAATTTTAAGGTTTTAAACTTAAAAAAATTAAAGTTTCAATACTCCGACTGTTAAAAGTTTAATTCTGTTGGAGATCTGGCATCATTCTTCTAGCCTATCGATTCATCGATAGTTTTTCGCGCCACCGCCAAGCGCTCACGATCCCATCCCTTTTACACCAACAGTTTTTGTGTTTCGTTTCGCTCTTTTTTTGGGTTTTTTTATTTCCGTTTTTCCTCAACGCCGTGGAAACGAAGAACATTTAAAATTGCGAAATATAAAACACGTGGATACTCGGAGTTGAAAACCATTTGCGAAAGTCCTGCGAGCATAACGGATATGTAAGTTACAAAATTCCAACGCACAAGCGAAAAAAGCGCAACAAGCCGCCACACGGACACGGGCACCTACTCTCTTTCACGCTGCCCCTGTCTCTCAGTCACACACACACTATCGCACACACCGGCAAAAGTTGAGCGTTTTGTCGCCTGCTTTGGTTTTTTATTCGCTTATTCGTGTTTCGTTTGTTCAGCGACGACATCGAATTATTTGTCGAGTGTGTCTTTTGCGGCAAGAAAACAATAAATACATTTACTATATTCAAGTACATATTCGAGTTGGATACAAAGTCGATAGTCGGCAGAAAACAAAACAACGGAGTGCATGTGTGCCTGTGAGTTAATCACCTTATTTTTCTAAAGTTAAACACCTTAGCCAGCTCAGCCTACTCGATCATGCTTTTGTGCAAAAGTTAAAAATAAGCGTTAAAAGTTAATGCAAAGGCAATGCTGGAATACCGGTACGCCTCTGTGTGTGTGTGCGAGAGTCAGTCAGGGACAGAGGCCGCGAGAGCGGAAGAGGGAGAGCGCCTAGCGCGTGAGTCATTAACCGGCATTTAAAAAAAAAAGTTAAAAAAAAAAAAAAAATAAAACATTAAGAAGCCAAGTCAAGGCTTGTGTTTCCTAAATTCTATCAACTTTTATTGTTTATTCCATGAACACACACACACACTTGCACACTTCCAGGGCAGACAAAGGAGATGTCCAGTAGAATCAGTTATTTGGATTTTTTTTTTTTTTTTTTTAAATCAAAAATTCTGCAGCTGCTCATAAAACCAAAAATACGCGCCTCAGTTCGTTGCGTAGGTTAACTTTTGGCTACTCTGTGTGTGCGTGTGTGTGTGTGTGTGTGTGTGGAAGCGTGTGAAAATTGCAGCCGCCACTCCAACCACCGTTTTCCAAAGTTTTTCGTTTTTCATTCTAACAGACCCAGCTACATGGGTATGCAGGCAGGGCTGTACATATGTACAAGGTGCTGTTTATGTGGTAACCCCCCCTGGTATTGTGTTACTGTCTTTGTGTTACCGTCTCGCAAGTAGCTCACTTCCGTCTTTATCGAGTGTCCCTTGTGTCGCCCTTTCCTCCCTCCGCCCCTCCCCCCAGCAAACCTTTCTCACTTTACTCACTCACCTTTGGTAATATTCATCCCATTAGCATGAAGTCGCACTTTCCAGTTAGAAACTGCGTGAGGAGTGAGGCGTGCGGCGTGCGGGGCTCCTCTCGCGGCAGATTAGCTGGCGATCAGTGATGGCATCTCTCTGGAGGGCGGAGTAGTGGTGGCAAGCTAGATCTCTTCCCCTGCCACCTGTGGAGCGCAGTCATCTCCATCGATGATGATGCTCCATCGTCTGATGGCCTCTTTTTGGTACGGGTTCGAGAAGCTGTTAGAATTCCAGTTCTTCAGCTGGTTCGGTTCTTCCTCTTCCTCCTCTGTATATTATTATTTATTATCATTGAACCGGGGCACTTTGGGGCCCGGTCTTTAGGCTCGAGCATCCACTGCTTTCTTTTGTGATATGTCATCCACTGTCAGGGTCTTCAATGGGAGATGGGAGAGCTGAGGCTGAGTCAACCGATCTCGTCTAGCTCCCCCAACCCCTACCCATTCCCCCGTTTCACACATTCCCCGGCCAATTTGTAACGGTTTTGTGTGGCACTGAGAAAGCGACAAAGTCGTCAGCTTAGCTTCTCCATTTCTCATTTCTCAAACGAATGCCGTTCAATAAGCCGAAACAAGTTGCCCGGGAATTGATAGAGTCCGAGCTCCAACGACTACGAGCTTGGAGCTGATCATCAGCTTAATGGTGGCATTAGAGAGAAATTGGAGTTGCCCGGATGATGGACCCACAGAGTACCCATTGAAACCGAGTCTAGTCTGAAGTGGATACACACCTTTGGGGAGCTTCACTGTAGAGCTCATTTCACGCATTTGTTTACACGTCTCCGGTGCTTTCTTACCATTTGGATTCGATGTTTGTTCATTTGGTTTCCAAAGGCGATTAGTATTTCAAAAACAAAAGTCTGTTTCCGAGAAGAGCTCCCGCCCCCCCCCAGCACCCCCAAGACCCCAATTAGCACATCTCTCTGCGAACGATTCGATTTGGCTTTGGACTGCATCTTATTTCAGTTTGATGCGCTCTCCGGAAAGGTAATGGGTATGAAGATGCGAGAAATGCAAAACCAAACCTGTTTTGGCGGCCAGTGTTGCCATTTTCGCGAAATTTGAGCGGTCTCTGGCTTCTCCCCTGCCTCTCAAGGAGGAGGACAAGTTCTCGCCTGCACTCAGGTAAAAAGCACCCGAAACACTCGAGGTCCAAAGATGGGAGCGTGAGATCATGCCCGGCAGCCAACAGTCCGACTGGAAGCTTTGGAAGCCATCCCTAAGAGCACCCACGACTCGATAAACCGGGAGTAGCATTTCGCCATGTTCCGGCCTGTGGGGATGTGTGGATGTGGGGATATGTGGATTTTGGCATTGAATACACAAAATTCGCGACACCGAAAACAACTGACGTCATATGGCTGCGTCTGTTTGCCGCCCAAGTGTACGCTGAATTTGTATTTATTTATTCACAAATGCGGAGCCAGGCGAACGCCCAATGCTACCGCTCAGGTACAGTGGGCCCTCGTCCCTGCCAACTGCTACCAAAAGGGGGGATAGACAGAGAAATCAAGAGAGAGAGAGAGAGAGATTCCCTTCCCAGCTTCCTCTGAGGATAGTCCTCTGAGGATGTTGATCGTTGCAGAGAGGCCCCACTGTATCTGCAAGCTATTGCTTATTTTTGCATGATGATTGCAATTTGAATTATTGTGTTTTCGCTGCTTGCGAACTTGAAATTTCGCGATAAAACGAATGGAAGAACTCCCTCGTTCTCAACGTTTTTTCTCAATTTCTCCCGCTCTTAATTCGCCCCCTCGAATCATTCGCTCTTGTGCTTGCTCAGGCGTCGGCCTTTTGTGCTTTTATTTACCTTCCTCTCTCTTTTGGCCTCCCATTTCGTTCTTTTTTTATTATTTGGGTGCAACAAGTGTGCGGCGTTTTGTTGGTTTGGTTGCTGTTGTTGTTGTTGTTGTTGTTATTATTGTTTTTGTACCGTTTTTATGTTAATTAACCAAAACGAGTTGCCGTCGACGTTTCAGTTTGTATTTCGTTGTTATGCTTGACTAGTTAAGCGCATAGAGAGAGGGAGAAAGAGCTCTCGGGCTCCAGCCAGAGCCCGAGAGAGATGGAGAAAGAGCGAGGTCGATCGTTACGTAATGGGGGAAAAGATGCTTTCAAATTGCCAGGCGTTGCCACCTGACCAAAAGTAGGCCCTCAGCCCCCCCCCACCCGCTCAAAAACACTTGTTGCTCTCCGAAAACTTCAGGAGATCCGCTCTCTTTTGGGGAGAGTCTGCTGTGCTCTAAGGAGAAATGGAAAAATATGAAAACAGTTACTTGGCTGACCTTTGCTTTTTCCCGAACTCTCCACTTGCATTTTACTCTGGAACTGCAGCAGCCTCTTTGGAAAGAGTCTAAAGAGAGAGTTGTGAGAGAGGGACTCCCCGTTTGGGCTCTATTTTTGGAAGTCCCCGATCTTTTAGATGCCCGCCCTTCACCCATTTCTCGCGTGAGAAATTAATCAACGCCACGAAGGGATAAATGGAGGGGAGGGGAGCTCACAAGATCACTCAGTGGGTCACACAAAGTGGGCGGAGAGCCCAGACACTTCCAGAGGGATGCTCCCTGGAATGGGTATCGTGCTGACTGGAGCTTTCGGCTTGGTCTGAAGTATCTGAGAAATGCCGGCTCTGGCCTTCATTGTGTTTGCTTCTTCTGGCAGCGACCTCCTTCCCCGTGCTCCGCCCCCTCCCTAGCAGAGACACTCCATTTACCATTAACCATTTACCATTTTCGTATCTTATCTTTCTCTTTTTCACTTGCACAACACTTTGCGTGGGCTTTTACTTTTCTTCTGGCCGTAGCTGCCGCCTTAAGTGCTTTTGAAAGTGAAAGAGCGCTGCGCGCTGGAAGAAGAAGAAGCCCTCGCGGGAAGCTGCGAGCCGAGAAAAGAAAGGAGGATTCTGGAATGTTTACCAATGGAGGCCACGAGTGTGATGACTAATTCGTTCTTTGACGAAACCCAGAAGCCAATTGCTCAGAAGCTCAAGCTTCCAAGCACCGAGTGTTGATTTGGCTCCACTTCCAATCACTTCCACGGTACTGCTGATTAGGAAACTCTTTCCAGTGAAGGGTTCCTGAGTGATGATTGCGTGGGCCACTTGAGATAACCAAGCGGATCGGAGCTCCTTCTCGCTGAATTGCATTTGGTTTCGCTTGGGAATTTCATTTGTGTCATTTATAGACGCAGCTTAAGTTCTCCCTCCTCCCTCCTCCAGCTGAAAGTCTGAGATAAGGCAGTTGGCTCGTAGTTCCAGTTTCTTTTATCAACGGGCGCGTTGATAAACTATTTCGCGTTCCAGGGCCCACGTAAGGTTCTAAATTTAGCCCAGTGAGCATTGCGGCTTGTATCCCCAAATTGCCCATAGAAGGCTATTGGTGTTGGGGGTGCAAGGCGGACTTCCGCAAGGGAGGGCCACTCCACCACCCCTCCTGGGGGTTCACTGTACCTTCCACCAGGCCTCGAGGGCGTTATTGGCGATATGCTCGTATCACACTAATGCCTCCAAGTGCGTATGTTGGAATGTGTGCCCCAAGGTCTCCAATAGCTGATATCGGTTACAAAGTTCTAGCGAATGCGAGCGACTTCTTGCCTGGCACGGGCACGGGTAAGGGTCCGGGTACGGGCCTAGGCGCCGTTTGTTTGTGTTTCTGTTTCCAATTCCGTTGCGTCGGATTGGCTTACCGTATCTTGGAAGTTGGCGACCGATGCGGTTTCAACACCAGACGAGGTGCCCCCCACCTCGGGGATGGGGTTAAGTGGTGGGGCTCTAATAACTGAGTCTCAAGAAAAGTCTCCAGAGTGCATCCCGTGCGGGTAAAGCTGCACTCCAATATGCATTGAGTCTTTAATGGGCAGTTAGTGAGCAAGAGCGTCTCTGTGTGAGTGCGAGTGTTATCTTCGAGTATCCCCAGCAGCAGCTCCACCCCACCCCCTCAACTCCTACTTCTCCTACTCTCTTCAATGGCTGTTATAAAATTTTGCTTAACTTGCTTACGCAGGCAAAGGGAGCCTGAGAGGAAGGCGGAGAGAGCGAGAGTCTATGCGGGCTCCAAGTAGCTCTCCCGGCCCGGCACTCTCTCTCCGGATGAGCACTCAGTGCTGGCAGCTCTCGCTTGAAAAAGGCTAGAATGCAGGTAACAGCGGTTAGATATAGCCGTTAATGGAAGTTGGCTCTTACAACTGGCCAGGTGGGGCGAGAAATTGGCCAAGTCGCCAGCTCTCTGCAGTGGAGCAGCGCAGCGGCAGCGCCCCGGAGGCAGTGGCAGTGGCAGAGGCAGCGGTGGAGCTCGACCACAAAACTGAGACAGTCGCGACGGCGCGCTCGTTTCAAGCAGACGTTAACGTTAACGATTTGGTTCTTATCCAGCGACCACCGCTCTGTGTGCGTGTTGTGCTTGTGTTTGTGTTTGTGCCTTACTGTGCTAATGCCAATACTGTTCTCGTTCTCTTAGCCGTTCTTGGTTTTGGTTGCGGCCCTACAACTCACTCTTTTTTTTTCGTGTGTTCTTTGGTGTTTATGCCGCACATGCTGACCTGACCCCAGAGGACCAGCCTAAAGGATCTTCCCCAAAATCGAAAGCAACAAACTGCGGTTGGTATTCCAGGCCCAAGCGCACCTGAGTGCATGTGCTCTCATATGCGAGAGAGCGAGTGAGTGAGTCTGTTTGTCTCGGTGTGTGAGAGCGAGAGCGTGCGAGTGTGAGTGACCAGAGGTGGACAGTCAACGGCTTTTCTAAATTGACATACTTTCTAAAAAGCAGCAACAACTACCAGCAACATCTCTTGGCCATCAGCAGCAGCAAGTACAGTGATCTCCCACTAAGAGAGCTCTCTTTTATGGAGGAAGTGTAGTGCAGGCTCCACTGTAGGGGGCTTTGAGCCACACACATTCACTGCAGCAGGTTGCCAACCCCCCCGGCCACTCATAAACAAGTTGAAAGACAGGTGGCGGTGACCAGTGGACATGGCCAAAAGCTAATCTGGGCCTGAAACTAACTGTAAAATGCCATCTACTGCTATTTGCGGTGGCAAGAAATGCGAAATCGGCAGGAAAGCAATGCACTTCCTCCTGCCTGCCTGGCCTGCCTGCCTGGCCTGCCTGCCTGGCCTGCCTGCCGGTTTCGGGTCTGGTTTTGGCCTAAACGCTAAGCTGAGACCATTTTGGGCTAGAAAGTGTTCCCGCGAGAGATGACTTTTGAGTGGCTATCTTGGTTTTCATTTTTATGGCTATCACAGAGTCTTAATTATGATGGATAAAGCACTTTATTCGAATGGCAATGGGGCGGAGTGGTGGAGGGGTGGAGGGGTAGCGTCATGCGATCGTCAAGCTGCGCTGCCGACTCGGACGCTCGGCGCGCGTGTCTCAATGCATTTAAATTCGCTTTTTAATTTCTCAAATAATAGACTAGTGCATATTAACGTTCAATTTCAGCATTTTATTATGCCCCTGCCCCTCCCCCTGCCTCTGCCGTGGCTCTGGTCTGCACAAACGAGTGCTGCCTGTATGTGTTTGTAAATGAAATGTTTTATCAGGTGCATAAGCTTACTTTTATCTCCCACCTGACGGACGCCTCACGCTGACGCTGACCGCGTGCTTTCAACACAAAACTGTAAAGCACATCGCCCACCCCCCTCCCCCCCGACATTGGGGAATCTACGAGTGCAGGATCCTTGGCCAAGCCCGAAACTCGTTTCCCAAAGGCCACCTGTTGCTGGCCACCTGTGGGCGGTGGGTGGCCGAGCCGGGGAGTGGGGGGAGGGCCAGCATTCCGCAGCTTTCTTTTATTGTCTCTGCCAGCTTCCAAAAGTTGCTAATTTCGCCTTTGTTCGGCCGCGCCCAAGAGGCGGAAGAATTCTCCACGCTCGTCGCCGAAGGTCTCGTCGCTGGGAGAGGAGTTCTATAAAAATTCGATGACGCTTCATTGGTTTTCAATAAATTCGACTTATTTGCATAAATGCCCCCCCCCAGCCCCATTCCCCGCCCCCCTCCCTGGTAGTTGGCAGTTGATTATTGTTGTCATTAGCACAAATTCCACGCTGAAAATGTCAAAAAGTTTCTGGAAACAGGTTGATATTTAGCCTCCAAGGGGGAGGAGGAGGTGCGGGTAGTTTCAGGTGTTTCGGAGGTGTTACCCCCTAGGGTAGTGCACACGAAGCCCCCTCTGTTGGGGATCAGATGCGGGGAATTTACTCGAAAAGTGTTACTGTAAGACCAGCTTAGGCAGCATCTACTTTATTTTTTTGCCTTTTTGAGCTTCTCATCTTTTGTGTTTTTTCTGCGCTTTTTTTTTTTTTTTGAATACTTCAATTACACTACCCTGGCCCTGTGTTGGTGAGCTCGTCTGGGCATAAGCACGTTTCCACGTACTCGAAGGTGAGGAGGCGTGGCAGGGCGGGCAGGGGGGCAGCCGAAAGATCGCCAGACATATTGCACTTGGCTTCAAGTTGGAGACGCCGACTGTGACTGAGGCAGAGGCCGAGGCAGCAGCGGCGACAGCGACGCTTTTTCGTGTTGCGTCAAAGTTCAAGGTGTAAACCTCACACACACACACACACACACACAGCTCATGTGTGTGTTTTACGATCATGTGTGTGTTTTACGATAAATCTCCGACGATAATAACTTCATGAGCCGAGCTGCTGCCTTTTTGGAATTTTTCAAGCCTGAGCTCATCATCGACATGATTATCATTATTAGTATACTATTTAAAAATAGTCGATTAATAATTGAAGGAATGACTAATTGGATGCCGATTGAAGTTCTGTTTGTTCTCTCTGGATGAGTCAGGTGTCGGAAGGTGTCGAGATCTTACCAGGAAAACGAAACCCATTAGGGGAAAGCCAAAGGTGAGGCCTTAATTGAAGGTGAATATCAAAATGTGTCTGTTTTAAGCCCAAGGTTGAGAACCAAGTGGCAAGTAGATGCCTCGCCAGAGAAGCGAAATGGAAAGTGGCGTTGCAAGATGCAGTTTCCAGTTTCCAGTTTCCATTTTCCAGTATTAGATAATCGCCGGATGTGCGGCAATTAATCAACACTTCCGCCGCCGCTGAGCTTTTCCAACACTACTGCACAGTGCACACCTGCACTTACCTTGTCATTCGGCCCCCATCCCCCCCATTCCCCCTCTCTATCGAAATATAATCATCTCCGCTTTTGTGGAAAACTTGAAAGCAAAAAAAAAAAAAAAAAACAACAAATTAGTTGCCATGGCTGTCGGGTATTTGTTTTATTTTTTAATGTTGTTTTTTTTTTTTTGTGGCAGCTGTGATGAGGTCTGTGGCTGTGGCTGTGTTTTCATTAACGCTTATTTGTTAATGGCTCTAGCGTTGGTAGATGCTTCTGGCCCTTTCTCCTCCCTGCCAGCCAATAAATCAATCAGTGGGGTGTTTGGCAGAGAACCAGATTAGTGTCCTCCAATCGATAGATCCATCGACCCTCCTCTTGATTTAGCACTAGGAACAGAGGGTGGTGTTACCAAGAGGTGACTCAATTGATTTCCATTTTATCCAGACCCCTGAATCACCTCCGAAATTAAAAAAACAAATCTGGAACTGAGTCACTAATCCGGGCTAAACCGAATAACAGATTATAAATTCAAAGCCTTATCAAGTGCGTCAGGTATTTTTATTTTCCTCTAATTGGGGGACTTTTGTCGGCTGTCGTCTGTCGGCAAACTAATAAAGCCAAGACAGCAATTGAAGTTGGCCCGAATACGAATACGAATACGAATACATATCCATTAGCATAACCTCAAAACCCAATGTCACGCATATTATTTGCTCCTCAGCCTTAGCTAGCCGTCTTTATCTCAACGCTCTATTGTCGTCTCTATTGTTTGCGAGATATTTGCACGAGTCTACAGTCTACTCCGATCTCTCAAGAGAGAAGAGTAGGTAATGATTTCTCTCAGTGCAGCCAATTCGAAATAAAACGATATGAAATGAAATGAAATTAGCTAACAAGCCGTATGCCAGTCCAAGTCCAGTCATAAATAAGTTGCGAATAATATACGGACATACGGGGGGACATAAAACCATCGAATAATGCCCCAGATGGAGCTCTATTAGTGGCGGGTTGCATCATAGAGCCGATGCCTCGTCGCACCGTACAGTGCATGCAAATTGTATGCGTTTCATAACCAGAGTCTCTGAAGATCCCCTTGCCCCCTCTCCCCTCTCATGACAATTGTCTTTTGCGATTGTCAAACTCGAAACTGAAAACGAAAGCATTAGCCATGGCCCAAAGCCAGGCCAGGCCAGACCAGACCAGGCCAGAGGCAACAAGTGGGCGCAGCAGTTTTTGGCCCAATAAATAAGCGGATGAGTAACGTGCCTGTTTACATACTCCAGTGGTGACTGTACCCCCGAGGTGTACCTGTACCTGTACTTGTACCTCTACCTTGGCCCATCTCCGCCCCCCACCCACCACCAAAAACATTGTTGCCTGGTAACTGGTTTTTTTATTGGGGGGTCGGTGTGTTTGCTTTTTTCTGACTGGTGCTTTGGGAATTCAGTTTGGCGGTGAATAATATACCAATTCAGAACGTGATGTTTCCAGATTCGAGATCCCCGAGGAGTAAGTTCCTCCAAAAGAGAGCCCTCCAAGCCTGTCGTCCATCAACATGCGACCCAATTGCCTGTCTGCCACTTCCACTTGCCATGTAGTTGCCGATTTCTAATGGTGTTTATTTTGTTGCTATATTTTTCGTGTGCCGATGACAAGATACTCCCCCCATCCCCCTCTGCTTCCAGCCCCCAGCTAGCCTTATCAGGAGCCCCCCATTTGCCAATTTCTAATTGTTTTCCGCCCTGCCCCATCGCCCACCCCCCCCTATGCTATTGTCTGGCCTGTTTGTATTGTTGTTCGGTGAGGCATATAAAATATTTTTAGGCCAATTGGCCCGCGAGTGTGTGTGTGTGTGTGGAGTTAGATAAGATATGCACATGATTTCATTGTAAACGTTGTTGGGTCACTATTTGCTAGTTGCGCTGTCACGGCTCCGGCTGCGACTCCGACTCCGACTACGGCCGGAAGTGGCTTTGACAACATTAGCTCCGACTTGATTTCATTACCGATTTCTTAGCGGCCATCCACGATCGGAAGCAGGTCAGTTCTCCAGGTCAGGTCCGAATGTTGACAGTTACAGGACCGTGGCATTATAATTGGTATTTCGACTGATAACCGTCGGCCACTTATGTAATTTGACCCAATTAAGATTATCGATTCAAAAATAATAATAATAATAATAGTGGTAATAATAACAATGAATGAACCTTTCAGGGTGAGCACTGCCTCGGACATATCACAGCGCCAAATTACCTTTTCCGACCGAAACTTTCCATGGATTGACTACAAGTTGGGGGCTGGGGGCTGGGAGGTGCTTCCCCCCCGGGACTTCCCCCTACTGCCACTGGTGATTGGCCAAATTTGTCAGCCAGATAAACCAAACAAAAGGCAACAATGCTTTGCATGCCGTACTCTCTGGCAATTGACAAAAATAATTAACGGCAATCTATCGATAGCGTCGACGAGCAGTTACATAACGTGGCTCAGCCCCATGAGGGAAGCTTCCGATTCTCCCCTCGAAGAGCCAGTTGCCTCCCTGAAGATGGGCCTCCCGCTGGATACGATTGCGTGCCTGCCCGCCCTCCTCGGGACAGTCATATGTTGTTCTACGTGCCCGATTATGTTTTCTCGCCGCTATCTGGAGCATTTAGGCCTAATTTGCTTCATTAAATCGTCACATTTGCTATTATTCCCCCTCCCCCCTTTTAGTTTCTGGAAGTTGACGTCAAGTTGGAGGTTGGACTTCAAAGTCTCTAGAGGGTGTATTCGTTTTGGGAGCTGGTCAGTACTGCTGCCAAGTACGGGGTATCTCACACTCCACACCACTCCACCGCCATGCTGTCAGGTTGATGAATGGCCTTTTAGTCTCTCGGACTTGTTGTTTGTTGTTTGGATTTAATGAACAGCTGGGGAGGCTCGTAGAAGTGGTGTAAGACTTAAAAACAGCCACAACACGACCAAGTTCTAATGTAATTAAGACCGAGTCCCGAATTCCGGCCATTCGTATCTCCATTATGTGGTTTACTTGGTCACTCCGATCGCTTCATTGCCTGCCGTTGCGTTGCGCATTTTAATTATTGGAGGGGGGGATCGTGGGGAGGCAGCCCCTTGAGGAGAACCTCCAAAAATGACAAATAATTGTTGAAATTAAAAGTGCCCGCCAGACGGAGACCTGAGGAGGAGGCCGAGTCCGAGGAGGAGGCGGAGAAACAAATGAAATGCCCATTATTATAAAGTTTTAACAGAAACGTGAAGAAAAGTAAAAGCTGGCAGTGGGAGGGGAGGGCGGTAAGGGGCGATTCCCCCCATTTAAAATAATGGATTTTAAAATGCGCCGCGCATACGCAATGCCTGTTTTTCCTTCTCATTAAGTGTGTTGGCTTTGTTGTTGTTTTTAATTGTTTTTGTTGTTTGTGGAGGGGTTCCGGTGACCAAACAATAAACGAGATTTCCAGCCCCGCTCAGGGTTCACTTTTTGTTCATTTCTCTTTTAAGTGAACCCATTACTGTGGTTAATGGATATCAAACATAAACACAGCTCGGGGTCGGATCTCCGATCTCGGATCTCGGCGAAACTAGAGTTATGTAAGCCTCGTAGGAGGTCCGATAATAGTTATGACTGGGGGTCCATCTATTGGCCCGAATGCTATCTGAAGTGGACCTTAGAGGGCTTAGTCCTCCAGCTATAGCCTTTAGCCTGGGAACCCCACTGCCATTAGACCCACCACCCGGCTTACACGCCATTCAAATTAAGGTTTTAAATGTTTTTCTGTTGAGTATTAATTGCAGATAAAGTTGCCAAATCATTTCCGCCAGCGGCCGGCGATCAAAGTCGCCTCAGAATAAAATAAAATCAAGCTGGAGGCTGGAGGCTGGAGGCTGGAGGCAGACGGAAGTGACATCAGAAACCGACTCCATTCATTCATAAAGTCGGCTTGGGGGAGAACTACAATGAAGGAACAAGAGGCAGGATGCACTTAATCACGGCTCCCTGCCCCACTCAGTTTTCTATTCACGCTCCAATCGGATATCATAGGAATATCCAAAGGAATTCGCAGCCCCAGCCGTTGATTATCAGAGCAAACAAGAACCCCAAACCCCAAACCCCAAACCCCCCAAACAACAACCGAAAACCCATTCACGACATGGGCGGAATCGGCAGCATGAGCTCATTTCACTCGCTTTTCGAGGAGGCCCTCTTCAAGTTCACGCGGTGGCGATAATAAATGTGGCATGATGTCATAATTTGTGAAAAATATTTTTAAGCAGAAGCCGCGTCTCGACTCGATCCCCAGGGATCGTGCCTTCAAAGGGGCTATTGTTTCCAAGGGGACCACGTTTCTTGCATTCCAGTCCTCTGTTACTTTTGTCAACTCGGCGCTAATTCATCAATTCATTATCCAGGCAATACATTAGAGGTCTAGCTAATGACCCAACTTGGTGCTCCACTCGGTGGTGCTCTCCTTTAATTGGGCATGGAGTGGCCACTGGTCAGCCTTCCTCCTCCAAATATAGAACTATCAAGTGCTCTCCAAATAGGGAAGTTATCGCTGACTAGTTGGATTAAAACTCTACTCCATTATGGGGAGTAAGCAGCTGGGTGCTATGATCCGAGGCCAGCACCCCCTTAGAAGCTCTTAATCTCGGCCCTGAACTGCGGCTTCGGAGCGTGTGCCTCCATTAGGGCTGCCACTTCCGCTGGGCCATAAGGAAGTGTCCAGCAAAGGGGCATTCCATCAATTAGGTGACTAACGCCTCTCGAACGTGCCTCTCGGATGTGGGATCTGTTCTACTCGCTCGTTATTTTGGTTCTATTGCGGTTGTAGAGGCATCTGGTGCATCTGCCTGTCACCGTGCCAGGTGAAATCATAAATATACTTTTAAACCTATACCATATAGCGCTCTTGAGTGCTGACCAGGTTGGCACAGTCATCCTTCTGACTGATTCACTCGAGTTCTAGCTGCGAAAGTTTTATCGGCTACGGAGTAGCAGTTGTGGCCCCATTATGTGGCCCATTACTCTGACGGCATTACGTTCTTTGGTATAAAAAGCGAGTGCTTTGATTTTGTGCAGCCTCAGTTGGGCGGAGGAGCTGCTAGTCGGTGGAGCTGGCCAAAGAAACCTCAACTAACGTTATCCTATCTTTCAGATTGCAGCACCAACAACCACGAAGGGTGAACTCGACTAAGCCGTCAGGAAGACAACAATTCAAATCCATCAGTAAGAAAAGACAGGAAGCACCAAGATGTCTCCAAAAGCGGTGAGTTCTGGGCTCAGGGAGAAGCCATAAATTGACAGGGAGACATGCCAGTCAGAAAACTGATTTGGCCAGAATCTGATAAGTCTAAAAGGGGGGAATGTCAGAGTCTCGTCAGTAAATTAAAACAGATTTAACGAGGAAGCTATCAGCTATCAGCCGAGGCAACCGCCTCGTTCTTATCGAAGCCACTCGAGTTGCAATTGTCGTCAATTGCAGAGTCGGGGATCGGGGATTGGGGATTGGGGATCTGGCATTCAATGGAGAACTTACTTCCTAGCGATAATCAAAGCGGGGGGGATGGCCATCCAAAGACGTCATAGTTCCACCCACCGTCAGCTGACGTCAGTAGTTCTCTGGCTTGTTTTCTTTCCACATCCTGCCCTCTTGGACATTTGCCAAAAAGTTTCATCATGTTTTTTGTGGGGATTGGGGGGAGGCAGATTGGGAGGCCTCGGCCTCCATGACATGTGTGGATAGCCACATCGACCTCAGGTTTCCCGGTCGTCAGGCTGAGGAGTCTTATCGCAGAACCATCCCATGCTTTGATGGTTGATGGATGGACGCAGTTCGGCTTATGGGTTATGGGTGCTGCGATCACGTGCCCCCATTACCTGCCAAGAGAAGTGTCGCCGATCGAGCGGAAAGTCGTCCAGCCAAGACCTGAAAGTTTCTCTAATCGTGCCCGAATGGTTAGCACAACTTTCCCTTTTTTTTCGCTACGGATTTTCCTCCAAACGAGAGTGTGTGTTTGCCCGGCTCGGTGGCCTGGGAGGGGTTAATTGGTCTCGGAGGCAGAGGCTCCTCCGATAAAGTAGAACTGACAGCGAACGCGTCGTATGATTGACGCTGATTTGTTTGCCCACCTTGGGCTGGGTCTATTAGGTAGTGGCTCCAGTGCCTCGGCACTGGCTACAGCACGGGTCGAGGCGGTAGTGCCCAGAGCACTTCCAGTTGCTGGCTCTTCAGAGCCTCTAATATTCTGACCCGCGATGTGCCGACCTGGGCCGACCTCTGGGGTCGTCTCCCAGTCGCTTTTTATTGCTGCCGTCTAATTTTAGATGCATAATTAACATGCAATTCATATTAACTTGACAACGAATGACTCGGACAAATGTGTGAATCGTCCATCGCCCATCCAAGTCCCCATCGCCCGTCCCCATCCCCATTCCCATCCCCATCCATCCCCAGAAGGCACAAATTAAGTTCACTTTTGTTGTTTCTTGGCTTCTGCCGCTTTCCCACTGTTTCTCCATTTGTGTTTTTTTCTGCTTTTCCAGCATTTTCCATTCCTGCCCATGCCCCATGCCCATGTCCCATGTCCACGACTTTCTGCTTTCCTCCTCTGGGTTTCGGCTTAAAACGTGCCGTGACTTTTCCATTTTCCTCAGTTGCCGACTGACAACCCAAAGAATCGCATTGAACGCGTCGCGCTCCGAGGCTTTCCCGCGGACGGACGGTCACCCCCGGAACTCAGCCGGACATTTTCCCAGCCAGGAGATTTGCATAGAAAAGCGTAATAATTCAAAAACTACTGCGGAACCCGTTTTCGGTCCCCAAAATGGTCGTCGTCTCCGACAGCCGTGTCCGTTTGCCGCGCTACGGCGGAGTGAGTGTTAAACGGAAAACGGTACGGAAAATCCATAGTTCTTAAGATCTTTTTTTTTTTTTGGGTGATCTTTTGAAATGAGCTCAGAAACTGGTTATGAGTGAACTTCCGTTTCCACCAGGGGTTTCGAAAAGGGGGGGACTGGCTGTTAATGCGAACAGAAACTGAAACCGCGTTGCATTAACCCAAAAACGTTAATTGGATTGAAATGAAAAACGTTTTCAATTTCCTACCATTGTGTCACGTTTGATATGCATTCAGCAGAGCAGCAGCAGCAGAGAAGCAGGGAAAAGCAGGGAAAACTCAAACAATGAGCCCAAACCAAGCTGAACACCGAATACTACTGAACTACAAAGCCCGAGCGATAGCCAGAATGATGAAATTGGCCAGCAAGTCCAAAATTTGATTTCGGGTTAGGGCTGGAGGTGGTTCCCATGGCTGGAAGTGGGCCACAGCAGTCCGACTGGAAAATGCCAATGCCTTTGGAGCTATTCTGAAGCTATCAGCTCCAGGTTTGGCCATTCCAGCAAGACCCAACGATCCTCCCCTTTCTCTTGTGTAACCATCCGGTCCAACCATCCTCCTCGCACTCGCACTCCCCAGTGTCACCTGAAGTGTCACGCCTGATTGATTTTGCTTTATTCCGAGCGTGATTTTTCACTGCGGCCCGCTTTCCTTTCTCGGATCTATCTCGCTACATTTTCTTTTCCAACCTGGCCTGGCCCCCTTTCTGGCCCCGTAAGCCCGACTTATGCAAGCCAAGTTAGTTGGCTTTCTGCGAAATGAGAGCTCTCGGCACGTGCCCTCCTCACACGCTGTCATGTCGCACCGCTCAAATCCCGTTAATCCATCGGACACTGACAGCGCCAGGGCAGCGAGAAGGACGGGAACACCACCCCCAGCACTACGCACATGGCACATGACCGAATTACCAACCAGTATCAGGTATTCCAGCGCTCGAAAGAGTCTTGGAACTCAAAGTCGATCGATCCAGAGGTCGAACTGTGGGTAGAAAGTAAGGCGGGGAGTGTCCAGGTATGGCCCTCAGTAGCAGTAGCTTTGTATCCTAAAGATGTTTGGTTTGGTAGCCTTACATCTTGGGTAAGTAGCCTATGCCTTCTGACTCCGTTTCCGAACTCAACCAACTAATCTCCGTGTTCTCCTTACAGCTAAATGTGCGCGTCACGACAATGGACGCGGAACTGGAGTTCGCCATCCAGTCGACGACGACGGGCAAGCAGCTGTTCGACCAGGTGGTGAAGACGATCGGCCTCCGGGAGGTGTGGTTCTTCGGGCTCCAGTACACCGACTCCAAGGGCGACTCCACATGGATCAAGCTGTACAAAAAGGTAAGAACTCCCTCGTCGGGAGGGGTAGACCACTGGGTGGGTAGACGTTAAGCACCACACTCTAGAGAGAGAACTCTAACCTAACCGATCGATGGGTGAGGTCTGTGTCTAACATCTTGTTTGTAACCTTTGCAATGTCTGGCGGAGAGCAGCCCGAATCGCCGGCCATAAAGACCATTAAGTATCTGAAGCGCGTCAAGAAGTACGTGGACAAGCGGACGGCCGACAGCAACGGGATGAGCCAGGCGGAGACCAGCGAGGAGGACGACGACGCCGACGATATGGTGGGCTGCCCGCAAGAGAACCCGCAAGCCCCGGCCGAACTCCCAGCTAGCTCGCTGTTAGATCCCAGTCTAGACTACGTAGAATCCTTTAGCCTATAGCCTCTAGCCCTGCCTTAAGCTTAGTCTCAGGGACCTTCACTTCACTTACTAACCATCTAATCCAAAATATTCCTTTGTTTAACGCTGCACTTGAACACCAGACTGGATCAATGCCGTTCTCGACTTGGGTAACACTCAGCTCCTGCACCTTGTCCTCTTTCTGATTATTATTTGACTTTATTTTCTGTCCAGTTCTGATATATGCTTCCATGCCAGTACACAGTCTAACTCTGCAGTGTCCTTCTCCTTCCCGCAGGTGATGAACCAGGACGTGAAGAAGGAGAACCCCTTGCAGTTCAGATTCCGTGCCAAATTCTATCCAGAGGACGTGGCCGAGGAGCTGATCCAGGACATCACACTGCGCCTGTTCTACCTGCAGGTGAAGAATGCCATACTGACCGACGAGATCTACTGTCCGCCAGAGACGTCCGTGCTGCTCGCCTCCTACGCCGTGCAGGCGCGCCACGGGGACCACAACAAGACCACCCACACAGCCGGTTTCCTGGCCAACGATCGCCTGCTGCCGCAGCGCGTCATCGACCAGCACAAGATGTCCAAGGACGAGTGGGAGCAGTCGATCATGACCTGGTGGCAGGAGCACCGCAGCATGCTGCGCGAGGACGCCATGATGGAGTATCTGAAGATCGCCCAGGACCTGGAGATGTACGGCGTCAACTACTTCGAGATCCGCAACAAGAAGGGCACCGACCTCTGGCTGGGTGTCGACGCCCTCGGCCTGAACATCTACGAGCAGGACGACCGCCTGACGCCCAAGATCGGCTTCCCGTGGTCCGAGATCCGCAACATCTCCTTCTCGGAGAAGAAGTTCATCATCAAGCCGATCGACAAGAAGGCGCCGGACTTTATGTTCTTCGCCCCGCGCGTCCGCATCAACAAGCGCATCCTGGCCCTCTGCATGGGCAACCACGAGCTCTACATGCGCCGTCGCAAGCCGGACACCATCGATGTCCAGCAGATGAAGGCGCAGGCGCGCGAAGAGAAGAACGCCAAGCAGCAGGAGCGGTAGGTTTCCAAGGGTCATCATCACTTGGGAGTAAAATTCCTAATAATCTTGATGGTTTTCAGTGAGAAGCTCCAGCTGGCACTGGCTGCCCGCGAACGCGCCGAGAAGAAGCAGCAGGAGTACGAGGACCGGCTGAAGCAGATGCAGGAGGAGATGGAGCGCTCGCAGCGCGACCTGCTCGAGGCCCAGGAGATGATTCGCCGGCTGGAGGAGCAGCTCAAGCAGCTGCAGGCCGCCAAGGACGAGCTGGAGCTGCGCCAGAAGGAGCTGCAGTCGATGCTGCAGCGCCTCGAGGAGGCCAAGAACATGGAGGCCGTCGAGAAGGCCAAGCTCGAGGAGGAGATCATGGCCAAGCAGATGGAGGTGCAGCGCATCCAGGACGAGGTCAACGCCAAGGACGAGGAGACCAAGCGCCTGCAGGACGAGGTGGAGGAGGCCCGACGCAAGCAGGTCAGTGTGGTACATTAAAACCATCTACTATCCTTTAGTATCATCAATGGATTTATGGACTTTCAGACCGAGGCTGCCGCCGCTCTGCTGGCAGCATCGACAACGCCGCAGCACCACCACGTGGCCGAGGACGAAAACGAGAACGAGGAGGAGCTGACGAACGGCGACGCCGGTGGCGACGTCTCCCGCGACCTGGACACCGACGAACATATCAAGGACCCCATCGAGGACAGGCGCACGCTGGCCGAGCGCAACGAGCGCTTGCACGACCAGCTGAAGGTAAGTCGAATGGTTTCGAGTCCTCGGCTCACTCATTGGCATTCCCTTGATTCCGTTCCTGCAGGCCCTGAAACAGGATCTGGCGCAGTCGCGCGACGAGACGAAAGAGACGGCAAACGACAAGATCCATCGCGAGAACGTCCGCCAGGGTCGTGACAAGTACAAGACGCTCCGTGAGATCCGCAAGGGCAACACAAAGCGTCGCGTGGACCAGTTCGAGAACATGTAAGGCTCCTCGGCTGCCGGCGCCGGCACTTCACAGCCCAGTGCTGGAGAAGATGGAGATGGAGGAGGAGGTGGCTCCTCGAAATGAAAGAGAAAGATATAACTACAAATCAAGATAACATAAAAGAGATGGTGAAGAAGAAGAAGAAGCAACAAACATAATTCCGGTCGCAGGGACCTCAAAACCTGCAACTATATCCCCCGGCCACACCACCCCACGCCCCCGTCCCCTCACGGAAGAGGACACTTCCTGCTAAGTTGAAAAGAGAAAATATTAAGGATAATCTTTGTTTGACCGCCGTTTTTTTTGTCAAAGAGAAAGAGAGAGCACTGGAGAAGGAGAGAGCTTGTATAGAAATCGAGAAGAATCAGCCAGATATACTTTACCTAACACACACACACACACACACACGCATATTATATATATATATATTGTATAACCGACAAACACGGCCAGGACGACCACAATCAAATAAGGACAATCGGAAATCAGAAACCCCATGGATCGACCCTCCCCCCCAAACCCCCACCCTACCGAAAATAGTAAATCTACACATTTCTCCTTTTCCCAATGGATTCATAGAGAAAACGGACCGAATAGTAATGGAAATCAAAAACAACAACAACAACATTAAGAGAAACAGAAAACAACTACAACAAACAGTCTACAACAACAAAACAACTATTTGCATTTTTCCCCCGTTATAATTATTATTTTTATTATTATATAATTACTATTTTTTTTTAAACTTGTATAATTAAATAAGAACTTGATTAATTGTTTCTTAAATTAACTTGAGAGAGAGCAACAAACAAAAATGAGAAGAAATATATTAAGTATTTCTCTCCCTTTAATCAATTTTTGTTTTGAAAGAAAAGGAAAGATTCTTAAAAAAGAAAACGCGAAAACAAACAAAAACTATTGTGAAAAAAACCAAACAAAAAGTTTTTAAATTAAACAATAAAAATGTAAAACAAAACAAAATGTCTGCGTTTCATTATCCTTAAATTTAAGAATCCTTGTGTCAAGTAGTTAAGTACTAATCTTAAGTTTATTCGAAAAAATTGTCAAGACCTAGACCTGTTGGGACATGTCTTAAAAGCACTTGCTTTTTAAGCGCTTTTAAGAATAAGCTTTTTTATCCGATTGGGGTATTGGATAAAAGCTATCTACATTTTGGCGAGTGGGAACTGAAGTGAAAGCTTTGTGTAAAAAGATCAAGCTTTTGACTTATCTACTTGGCCTACACTCTCTTACCAAGACCGTGGGTTGTTACCACTACCTTATGATCTGAAACTGAAATCCATTCATAAAAGATTTTATAAAGATTTACGATTATTTTTTTCTAGCGCTTTATTAATGCAAATATCAAATTGATAACAATAGATACATCAGCTATGTATATGTTTACAGTTCATTTATTTAACTATATTTATGTTTACAGATATCAGATATCGCGACATATGTGAACTGCATAGCAAAAAAAAAAAAAAGTATTAAGTACCTACCAACCGCGCCACTTTGGATATTAAAGAAAAAAAATACAAAAAAGCAGGTAAGTTCCGAGTTTTCGTTGGAATCATCATATACAATAAGATATAGTCCTATAAACACGATTTCTCTGAAGGCACATAAGTACAGGGGCTGGCGCCGGACTGGCATCCCCAACGGCCCCCATTTAAGGCGCATAATTGGTCGGGGGAGGGGATACGTATAGAACGTATAGTAGTTCCATAATGGAACTTGTTGCTACGGCAATTGAGTATGTGTAGAGTCGTCATAGGCAGTTGCCACTGTGGTCCCTTAGCCTAAATATCTTCGTTGGTTATTTGGCGTGTGGCAGAAACCTCTCTCCCTTCTAGTCCTACAATCCTAGACTTTAAGAACTATATATTTTTTGAGCACTTCTCGATTCGGCTTAGTCGTGTTGGATCCTGACGAGCATATCTGTGATCTGAGAGTTTTAGAATCTTTAAATATTTCTGCCACTCCGGTTTCCTTGCACGGCTTTATATTAGTATATGTATGCTATGGTGTGCCTCCCCCTGTTAGTAGGGGTTAACGGCAGCCAGACCCACTCGTCCTCCGGATCTGGCAAACACCGGCTCCGCGTAGCTGTGTCTGTAGCCCTTCGGCATGCTGTTAAGCTGCTGTTTTCCGGGATTGCTCGCTCCGGAGTCCCCCACCGGAGGCCTCGAGGGTTTTGGGCCTGGGCCTGCACCAGCCGGGGAGGGGTAGCGCTCCAGGTGGCCGGAGCTCTTCGTTTCCACGTATTCCCGGGAGTGGCCGCGTCCGCGATCCCGATCTCGTTCCCGCTCCCGTTCACGTTCTCGTTCACGTTCCCGCTCTCGTTCCCTTTCCCTCTCGCGCTCTCGCTCTCGTTCTCTGTCGCGGCGATAAGGATCTCGGGAGTGCTCACGCTTGTAGTCCCTGTCCCTCTCGCGCTCCCTGTCTCTGTCATGGTGACTCCTATCCAGGTGCCGCGTGGACTGTGTCGGCTGAGGCTCGGGCTCCCATTCGCCGCGCGACCTCGCCCTTGACCGACTGGGGGCCACGTCGGCGTGGCCCACCACTTCCTCCTCCTCCTCCTCGCCCTGGCTCCACTGCTCGTAGGCGTTCGGCGGCTCCATTGAGCCCCGCCGCCTGCGGGAGGAGGACCTGTAGGGGTCCCGACTGTGGACTTCCCGCTCTTCCACGTCCGGGTAGCGGTTGACAGGCGGTCGCTGCTCCATGGCTCGGAACTTGTCCTTGGCGTCGTGGAAGCGGTCTCTCTGGGAGACCTGAGAGGGTGGAGGTGCAAACTCGCGCTCCCTCTCTCTCTCGCGCTCCCTTTCCCGGGTCTTGGGAGTTCCCTCGCCGTAGCGCATTCCCGTTGACTTCATCATCTTTTCCATGGACTGGATATACGGGAGACTCTCCGCCTCCCGGTAGGGATTACGGTCCCGTGACTGCTCACGGTCCCTGTCGCGCTCCCGCTCCCGTTCCCTTTCCCTGTCCGCGTGCCTCCTCTCGGTGGTCCTCTGGCCCAAATCCGTGCCCCGATGCACGGCGGCGTATTTGTTGTGGCCCGCGGCCAGTGGCGGCGGAGGAGCTGGTTCCTCTGGCTCGGCGTAACGTTGGCGGTACCTCTGCCCGTCCGGAGAATCAGCGCTGTAGTTCTTCAGCAGCTGCTGCTTCTTGGAGGTGTACTCCAGGAACTTCTGCTTGTCGGTGAGGTTCTCCTTTCGGTGGCCCAGCTGCCCGTGGTGGCCGTGTCCCAGACCGTGGCTGTGCAAGGAGCTCGGCTGGAGCTGCTCCGGATCAGAGTCTTCGAAGTCGTCGAGTGGATCGTCCAGGCGGGAGCGGGACTTGCGCTCCCGTTCGTGGGACAGCTTCTTGTTCAGCAGCCGGTTGATCTCGTTGTACTTGTCCGTGTCCCGCAGCTTGCCGGAGGTTAGTCCGGAGTGCTGGTGCTGCTCTTGCTGCAGAACCCGGTTGAACTTTGCATCGTAGTCGGCCGGGCGCATTATGATGGGTTTGATCTCGTCCTCGCGATTCCAGGACTTGTTTGAAATGGATGCTGGTGTTTTGGTCCGGTCCCGGTCCCGTTCACGCTCCCGTTCCCGTTCCCGCTCGCGTTCTCGATCTCGTTCTCTTTCCCTCTCCCTTTCCTTTTCTCGCTCCCTCTCCCGCTCGATCTCCCGCTCCCTGTCGGTCTGTCGTGGCTGATACGGTTTGGCGGGCAGGTCCCTCAGGTAGCTGTCCTCCGGAGGCTGTACGGCACTCTTCCGTTTTAGCTGCCCATGGTGGGGCATGGCGATCTGCGAAGGCTTCAGGGCAATGACCGAGTTGTCCGCCTCGTTCGACCAGTGCTCGTCATCTGGAAAGGAGTTCAGGGCATTGCTGGGAGGTTCTATGATTCTGAACTTGAAATTACTCACCGCTGGAGCTATTGAGTTCCTGGCGCTCCGGGCTGGGTGCCAGATCAGAGCCAATGCCCGAAGATCCCCGCGAGGAGACCTGCTTGCCGTTGGCATTCGCAGCAGCAGCTCCTCCCGTGGCGACTCCGCCAGCTGGTCCTCCACCGGGATTTACCACGCCCGGATGTCCAGGTTGACCCGGCTTGGGAGCTCCACCTACGATAAGGGCGTTCCGACACCTCCGCAGCTCAATGGCTGTGAGATTCCCCTTGGAGCGGTGCACCGTGTCGTAGTCCCGAGGCGGCAGCAGCAAGGGCGGTCCGTTTCCGTTCAATTTTGCCCTCAGCTCGGCGGCCAGGGAATCGAAAAGGTCGCTGTTCTGCTGTGGCGTCAGGGGCGGATGGTGCAGCAGTGGGTGTCCGTGTCCGTGCGAGTTGGCGTGGCTCTGGGGCTTGCCGTGTGGCGGGGAACGGGATACGGGGGAGGATCCTCCGGCCAGACCCTGCTCCTGTCCGTCACTGCACTCCGACTCCCGTGTGCTGTTTCCCGTGTCGCTTCCCAATGAGCTGCTGAAGCGCTTGGGCGAAGATGTGTCGTGACGCCTTCCCTGGTAGCCACCTGCTCCACCGCCGCGGGCAGACTCTCCTCCGCCGCTCTGTTGTGACTGCAGTTGGTGGTGGTGAGACGAGGGTCCTCCTCCGGACGACTTTCCATTTGATTCGTGCCGCTTGTCCCCCCCGTGACTATTGCTGGAGTTCATGGGAATCGGTGGAAGGATCCCCAATCTGCAAAAGAAAACCAATATAAGTGAGATTTTCCGAGAATATAGATTTTTTGTATACCCTTGCAGAGGGTATCATAATTTCGGTCAAAAGTGTGCATCGCAGTGAAGGAGACATCTCCGACCCTATAAAGTCTCTATCCAGGGATCCTATCAGGAAAAATGGACAAAAAATCTAAAAAATATTTTGTCTCAGGATTTTGATGCAGAATGGTGCAGAATCGATCTAGAAATCGTTTAAGGTACTCCGCTTGAGAATCGGATGCGAATTGGGTAAGATATAGCCATCGCAGTGGGCCCTATAGGGGAAAACCCCATTTTCAAGGGATCCCATCAGGAAAAATGGACAAAAAATCTAAAAAATATTTTGCCTCAGGATTTTGATGCAGAATGGTGTAGAATCGATCTAGAAATCGTTTGAGGTATTCCGCTTGAGAATCGGATAAGAATTGGGGAAGATATAGCCATCGCCGTGGACCCTATAGGGGAAAACCCCATTTTCATGGGATCCCATCAGGAAAAATGGACAAAAAATCTAAAAAATATTTTGTCTCGGGATTTTGATGCAGAATGGTGGCAAATCGACCTAGAAATCGTTTGAGGTATTCCGCTTGAGAATCGGATAAGAATTGGGGAAGATATAGCCATCGCAGTGGGCCCTATGGGGAAAAATCCCATTTTCAAGGGATCCCATCAGAAAAATGGAAAAAAAATCTAAAAAATATTTTGTCTCGGGATTTTGATGCAGAATGGTGGCAAATCGACCTAGAAATCGTTTGAGGTATTCCGCTTGAGAATCGGATAAGAATTGGGGAAGATATAGCCATCGCCGTGGACCCTATAGGGGAAAACCCCATTTTCATGGGATCCCATTAGGAAAAATGGACAAAAAATCTAAAAAATATTTTGCCTCAGGATTTTGATGCAGAATGGTGTAGAATCGATCTAGAAATCGTTTAAGGTACTCCGCTTGAGAATCGGATAAGAATTGGGGAAGATATAGCCATCGCCGTGGACCCTATAGGGGAAAACCCCATTTTCATGGGATCCCATCAGGAAAAATGGACAAAAAATCTGAAAAATATTTTGCCTCAGGATTTTGATGCAGAATGGTGTAGAATCGATCTAGAAATCGTTTAAGGTACTCCGCTTGAGAATCGGATAAGAATTGGGGAAGATATAGCCATCGCCGTGGACCCTATAGGGGAAAACCCCATTTTCATGGGATCCCATCAGGAAAAATGGACAAAAAATCTGAAAAATATTTTGTCTCGGGATTTGGATGCAGAATGGTGTAGAATCTATCTAGAAATCGTTTAAGGTACTCCGCTTGAGAATCGGATACGAATTGGGGAAGATATAGCCATCGCAGTGGGCCCTATAGGGGAAAACACCATTTTCAAGGGATCCCATCAGGAAAAATGGACGAAAAATCTAAAAAATATTTTTTCCTAGGATTTTGATGCAGAATGATGGCAAATCGATCTAGAAATCGTTTAAGGTACTCCGCTTGAGAATCGGGTTAGAATTGGGGAAGATATAGCCATCGCAGTGAATCCTATAGGGGAAAACCCCATTTTCAAGGGATCCCATCAGGAAAAATGGACAAAAAATCTAAAAAATATTTTGCCTCAGGATTTTGATGCAGATTGGTGGCAAATCGATCTAGAAATCGTTTAAGGTACTCCGCTTGAGAATCGGATAAGAATTGGGGAAGATATAGCAATCACTGTGGGCCCTATAGAGGAAACCCCCATTTTCAAGGGACCCCATCAGGAAAAATGGACAAAAAATCTAAAAAATATTTTGCCTCAGGATTTTGATGCAGAATGGTGTAGAATCGATCTAGAAATCGTTTAAGGTACTCCGCTTGAGAATCGGATGCGAATTGGGTAAGATATAGCCATCGCAGTGGGCCCTATAGGGGAAAACCCCATTTTCAAGGGATTCCATCAGGAAAAATGGACAAAAAATCTAAAAAATATTTTGCCTCAGGATTTTGATGCAGAATGGTAGCAAATCGATCTAGAAATCGGTTAAGGTACTCCGCTTGAGAATCGGATGCGAATTGGGGAAGATATAGCCATCGCAGTGAGCCCTATAGGGGAAAACTGCATTTTGAAGGGATCCCATCAGGAAAAATGGACAACAAATCAAAAAAATGTTTTGCCTCAGGATTTTGATGCAGAGTGGTGGAGAATCGATCTAGAAATCGTTTAAGGTATTCCGCTTGAGAATCGGATAAGAATTGGGTAAGATATAGCCATCGCAGTGGGCCCTGTAGGGGAAAACCCCATTTTCAAGGGATCCCATCAGGAAAAATGGACAAAAAATCTAAAAAATATTTTGTCTCAGGATTTTGATGCAGAATGGTAGCAAATCGATCTAGAAATCGGTTAAGGTACTCCGCTTGAGAATCGGATGCGAATTGGGGAAGATATAGCCATCGCAGTGAGCCCTATAGGGGAAAACTGCATTTTGAAGGGATCCCATCAGGAAAAATGGACAACAAATCAAAAAAATGTTTTGCCTCAGGATTTTGATGCAGAGTGGTGGAGAATCGATCTAGAAATCGTTTAAGGTATTCCGCTTGAGAATCGGATAAGAATTGGGTAAGATATAGCCATCGCAGTGGGCCCTGTAGGGGAAAACCCCATTTTCAAGGGATCCCATCAGGAAAAATGGACAAAAAATCTAAAAAATATTTTGTCTCAGGATTTTGATGCAGAATGGCGGAGAATCGATCTAGAAATCGTTTAAGGTACTCCGCTTGAGAATCGGATGCGAATTGGGGAAGATATAGCCATCGCAGGGAAGATATAGGGACTCGCTTGTCTATTAGTATGCATTCGTCTTCGCCAAAATGGGTGTTAAGTCTGTCATGTGTGGGGAGTCTCTTCGCCCACTTGCACGGCGGAAAGCCGCGTAATGCGCCGTGGGAAAGCTGTGGACATGAGCAAGCCAGCCAATTACCCGCCACAGCAAGACTCCTGAGTGCTCTCTCCATTATCATGACCACCGTCATCCAGCACCAGCGCCATTAGCATCATCATCGCCATCCCGGTGGCAGGGCGATTACCACGATTACACGTCAAGCGCTCGGATGGACGGCATTATTCCACGCGAGTGTGTCTAATGGAGTGCCTAAGTGGCTGCCTCGGCAACTACATTTGCAACTGCTTCCTGCTCGGCACAATTATTCAAAAGTTGCACAACAAAAGTGCTAAAACTCGAAACCAAAAACCGAAGTTTGTTTTTATGAATGTAGTGGGGTGCCCCCTGGAATTGCGTTTACCTGGTCTCCAGCTCCTCGAAGCGCTTCTGGTTGTCCGGTCGGTTGATGAGGATCTGCAGCTGTAGGTGCAACGCCTCCGCCGTGGTCTCCGAGTCGCAGCGGTAGGCGTGGACGTGGAGCGGGCACTTGGTGGCCGGATTGTAGAGGAGCAGGACGCAGGCGACGATGTCGTCCGTCTGCACGGAGCTGGTTATGGCACTATGGGGGATTAGGTGTTTCGAGGCCCCCTGAAAATATCACAAGCATGCAATTGTAGAAGGTTCTTTCAGGTGGGTGAACCTGATAGCCGACCCACTCTCTGCCCACCACCTACCTGGACGATCTTGATGCCCTTGTGGGACACCTGGAGGGTGACCTTGAGAGGCTCCTGGCCCCGGGATCGGTCGACAAGGTAGGGCAGCACCGAGTTTATCACCCGGGCACCCCGCAGTCCCTTTGCCTCCTCAGCACCCAGGAACCAGACATAGTAGGAGGCCTTCTGGACGTCCCGACGCAGGCGCAGCGCCATCTTCTGGCCGGAATGTGCGACGCGGGCACACTCAACGAAAATGCGGCTACTCTTCTGAATGGGCTTCTATGTATGTTCCGAGTTAAATGCTAATTGGCGTTAAAGGCATCTGAAAACAGGAAACGTTTGTTATGAATTCAAGCAGTCTCTTTGAAATGGCTAACAAAATTGGCCAACAAAGTCTGGGCCAGGTTACATCACTAACTGTTTAAATTGGCAATAAAACCAGCTTGCAGCTTCTAGAGGGCTATTCTGGACTGGACTTACAGTAATTAAAATAATCTTCGCTCAGCTCAAGTGGTTTATTGTATAATCCCTCTATGACGAAAAGAAAGCCACGACCCTGGGAGTGACAGTCTATATGGTTTTTGGATTAAAATTCTTCAAGAGTTGAGAGAAATAAACCGTTCCAATGTTGCGTTAACTTTTCGCTGATAGCGGCCAACAGAACCAGAAGACGTAGAAAACGGGTTGGCCTCTCCAGGCCCCTAACTGTTAAATTCCACTAAAAGCATCCCAAAGATGCCCCAAAACGTAATCGGTAATCCCATTAGAGGAGTGTCTGGCTCGCCCACGTAAGCTCCAAGCTCCACCGAAATGGAAACCATAGACTAGATACCAGAGAATATATCTATGATTAATGACACCACAAATCAGATGGCGACTTGTGGCGGATTTGGATGAGATTGAAACGGAAACTGGAATGCCACTCGGTTGCAGGTGGCAGGTGGCAGGAGGCAGGAGGCAGCTAACGGCAACCCAGCGAGATGGATTCAAATGCAATCTTGTCATGTGTCATAACTTCTGTGAGAAAACGAGAGAACCGAACGAGCCGCAGAGGAATCGTCTCAAAACGGGGCCCGAAACCGACCAAAATCGAACCGGCCAAACCAGCGAACGGTATTAACTCGTCCCACAGGTGTTGGAATACCATTATGATGCACCGAAAAAAATATAGAGACGTGAGCGCTGGAATATCATCAGAATTATCAGAATTTTGAAAATATCTAGGAGGAGATTTGGGAAAAAACCCTGGACCAAGAAGTCTTCATGTTATGAAGATATTGACCTTGGGGCTGGGAAGATTTGTTTCTGTGCACGAACGAGATCCCCCCAATCGACACTTCTAATCGATGATCTTGTGCGACTTGTTGCTCAACGGCGCGTAGGTCAAAAGAATCTCGTTTTTTGTTTGTCAGTTATGCATTCAGATCGACAACAAAACCGCAACGAAAACCGAATAATCGAGGCTCCGAGCAGGCGATATCTATCAAAGCTATATGGTATAAGCCTGGCTTATTGTGTGCCCAGCCAATTTGCATAAGACACAGATACAGAAGTGGCTGTGGAATTCATATCGCATATATAATAACCCCAAAACGAATATAAGTGTATTGGAGAAACGAGAATGCATAATGACTGGAATGGAATATCAAAGACACCTGGCGATACGTGAATTTCTTCAGGTTCTAGTATCTAATAATTCAGAGGGTGCTATAACACATGTCTCAACTCTTTAAGACTGCTCTAGGAAGTATCACCGGAGAATGGCCAGAACTTGTTGCCGAGACACTTCCTATGTGAAACCTATGATTGATGGACATTTCGGTGTTGGGTGTGTACTGAATGGTGGGGGTTCTCTATATGTTATTCATGGACTTGCTAATGTATTCGAGACCTCCTTAAAGAAACCCCAGAAGTTGTGGGCCTAGAAAACCCTGGTCTTCTAGACAGTGCGCAGATTTACATTTTATGGGAATGTGTTGAAAGACCCAGCGCGGATCTGGGGATGCGGGTTGGTAGTCCACTTGTAGGTAGGGACATTAGCATAAACAATCCGTTTGCTGGCCAGCGAAGCAGCAAATAAACAATTTGCAAAGAGATCTTTTGTTATGCCGGACCGTCTCAAGTTGTTTCCCTTTTTATATCTGTACCCAGATGTATCTATAGCTTCCATGTGTATCTGTTTATCTGGGGGATCTGTAAAGGTATCTTTAAGCGGGCCACAATAGCACAATATTGATATCTTGTTAAAAATATTAAGATAATGGCCCAAATGGTGCCTTTTTGACCGCTTTTTGGGCTTTTAGGTGATGTTCCTATTCGCAGTGGAATTGATGGCTCGAAAATGGGTTAAGCGCATTTTCCGTTGTCTTTTGGAATTGGTAACACACACACACACACAGATACAGATACACAAATCGCACTTTGGCACTTGCACTGTTTGTTTGTTTGTCGGTTTGTTGTTTGGCTTTTGTTTTGTGATCTATTGGATGTTTCTGTTTTTTTGACTTTTTGTTTTCCTCTTGGTATTTATTCTTTTGGCCGCTTTTGCTCCATTTCGAGCTGAACTCGATCAATGAACCGTTTAAGTCTCACACACAGATACACACGCACACACACCAACTCGCCAACTCGCACTGGCACCGAAGTGGAGCGTTTAAATTTCTAAAAAACTTATTTGATTAACGGTAATTGCGAAGAGAGTCTCCCTCTTTCTCTCTCTCCAAGCACCAAGCACACACACACACACCTTTGCGGGCAGAAACTATTCCACAGATACACGTATGTATGTATGTATCTACAAACAGCAAAAAAAAATGTTAACAAAAAGATACAGCAATCCGTGAACTTCTTTCTCGGTGTCTCGGTTTCTCGGTTTCTCGCGGTTCTAGCGCGTTTTTTTTGTCGCACAGAAAACGTCTCAACGCTTCGACCGCCAGCAATCGACTGACTTGGCTGACTGCCTCTGGAAACGGCCTCAGCTAGTGGTTGGCCAGATCCCCACTCCCCTCTTCCCTCCTCCTCGACCATGTCTGAGCCACCGAACTGGCTCGAAGTCGAACCCGAACCCGAACTTGTTTTTCATTTGGTTTTCAGTTTCGAGTTTGCGGCAAAGAAAGTCCGTACAGTGGGGCCTCGACTGCACATTCTTTGGCGGCAGCTATCGGACAAAGAAGTCACCGGTCTGGCCCACTGTGCTGGAGTGCTGGAGCACTGGAGTCTTGTGCTGGAATGTGTTGAAATTAAAAGTTGTTGGGTTTTTGGGCGCAGCGTCAACTTTGCGGCCCTGGCCGGAGTGTTGTTGTTCTTGCTGTTGTTGTCTGCTTCGACTTCTTTTTATTTTGGCCGTATTTTGTTGCCTTTGTTTTTGGCTTAGACAGGTGTACGAACGCTATTGTTGTTGCCACTGGAGGTGGCATGGAGGCTCGGTGGCTCGGTGCAGTGGTGGTTTGAGCCAAGTCGAGCTGCTGCTATTGATATAGCATTGAGCACTTTTTTGAAAAGCCGTCCGTCGTGCATTCTACAAGTTTTCCATCTACCATCACCACCACCACTTGATTGTGGTTGCAAAAAAGTAAAAAACAGAAAAAAATGTAAAAAAAAAGATACGAAAAAATGAAAAACTTGGCATTTAACTTGCCGTGTGCTGGCGTGCTTTGGCTTCTCTCCGCGGAGTGAAATCTGGCAGTAATTCTTGTGCCCATACTGGGGTACCTGACTCTGACTCTGGGATTTTCAAAACGGAAATGTTCAAATCTAGCCAAGGTGTCGATATATCCACCACCACTCAGTTTCGGTTTCTGGCCCAGTTGTCTTTGTCGTTTGGCCAAAAAACACACAAAACATATCTTGTTTTCAAATATTTCCTATGCCTCCGTTTTTATGGTCTTGTCTTTGATGGATTGTCGAAAAGATAACGTGGATCCGACTTGTTTTTCGACTGGGTATGGGAACTAAATCGTACTTACAAGTATATAGCGTATATCTCAATAGGATCTACCAATAATAACTCCATTTGGCCTGCCACAATTGCTCATTTCCCCCTAATATCTTCTTATCCCCATGAAACCCATAACAAGGTGCGGTCATCCAGAGTTTTTATGAATTTTCCTTCCAAAAACCGAAAACCACCGAAACCCATTAGCATTTCCTCAATTACGCCAAGAAATTGCTCCATAAAACGCCTTGTAATGCAGTTGGTCGAGCAATTAACGGATGATGGGGCACAAACTACCTACGATGGGGTCAGGGGTCAGGCGTCAGCCGATCAGACATCAGAAGATAGAGAGGTACTCCCCATAAGCAGATACTTCAAATGCCATGGGCCGATCGTGACAATATCCAAATCAGATAATGGAACAAAGTTCAGACTCGACACTTTGTTAAAAGAGAGACCGCCACTACACTGATAACAATTTAATGACCTTGCTTTCTGGCAGCATTTTTGGCAGGCCCACAAATGCATTTTCGGCACGTTTTCGCTGGCCCAGCAACTGCGATTTCTCCCGCTTTTTACTTTTTAGTTTTTGGTTTAATAGTTGATAGTTTTTTATTTTGGCCTTTGATTTTCTGTGTTGCTGCCTCGCCGATTTTCCCAAATCCCTGCTAACCTGCTGACATGGAAAGGGGGATCCCGCGCTGGAGAAAATCAAGAGGGGCCTTCGAAACAATTGCCAAGTGGAATTTCACTTTCCTCCGTCGATGGAAAAACTAAAAGCCGAGTGAACAAAAAACGGCACAAAAATACACATGATACGAGACATGATAATTTGCAATTAAATTTGGCTTCGGAACCTGTTGCTTAAATATTTATATATAATTTTTGGGAGAAATCTAGAGGCGAGTATGGCCAAGGCCAAGTCAAGGAACAAGTGGCAGGAGGTAGAAGACAGAAGACACAAGACCGCCACGCCCAGCTCCAGCTCCACTAACTGATTTGTGTGGCAAGCAAGTGGCTGCTTTCTTTTGGGTTCGGGTTGTCGGCTGGTTAAGCGATTTTAATTGAATCGCAATGAGATGGCCGAGAAGTGGCCAGCGATACTATATAGATACTATACACAGAGAGAGAAATCAAAGGGAAGTTTGAATGATACCCCATTAAATGATATATATTTCTGGCTTTTGTCTAAGCCCTATGCTTGTAAGGACTTCTTGTCGTATCTGTTGCAAGACATATTAATAATATGGTTGACTTGTTAGTAGTACTTGTTTACAGTGCACAGGTGCCCCAAGTGTCCGAGAGTGGAGAGTCGAGAAACGCGTTAAACCGCTTTTGATTTTTATATGTGGCCGGTAAAAGTGGGTAATCATCATTAGCCAAGGCAA